TAAATGAAAACTATTTTCGGTGTACGAGCGAAACGAACAATTCTCGACTCCAGAGCTTAAAACCTCGATATTATCAACAATTCAGCATGAGGTAATAATTTTCCATCAATCTGTGTATAACAACCAACACAACGCACTGAAGAACGGCGCTAAATTAGTGTAAAACTGATAATAATCATTCTACATTTGATCCTCAAAATCAACCCCACCAAGATGAAGATGAATATTGATATAGGGAGCTGCACCGTCGAGGTAACCTTACTTTTTTGACATCTGGCAGTGGTTTGTTTACATGAACTTAGAAGAAAAAAATATTAATATTTTTGATTTAGATTTATTGGAGAGGAATATTTTCCAAACGAACATAGTCGGATATCATATCTTTTAATTCTTTTTATTAAAAACCTCAAATCCACTTGAATTGACTAGCAAGCAAAGGTAAACAAACCACCACTGGATGTCAAACTGATGAATTTGGGTTCATCGCGCTCATTCGTGACGTCAGCGTGCAGCATCCTATTGACAACAACACAAGCGATAATAAACATCCAGCCACGAATGAACAAAAACAAATGTTGACTTCGATATTCAGAGGTTGCCTTGATCAACAGAATGTGTTCATGTCAAAATTCAAATTCATGTAGATAGTTGGTCTATCTGTTAAGGTTGTCTTCGTTTTCAGCTAAGTTGAATGTAGAAGCAATTATTTTTATCAGCACTGGTCTCCAGTATGCAAAAAGTGGCGCGGATGACTTCACTTCGAATGCTGCCATGGTGAACAAATACCGCGAAGCACTCCAATTCAAAGCTCTCCGTTTCGTCTATGGACTCGAATCGCCACGGGATGCAGACATAAGAGCCGAATTTACCTCGAAGCTGGAAGCCGACGAAACCGCAGTCAAGTTGAATGGGCGTTTTGAAACAAAAAATCGATGTTGTCGAATCGATTCTAAAACTGACTATAAAATCGATCCTCTAAAATATCGAAAGAAAAAAAATCGATTCGAATAAAATCGATTTTTTTAAATATTTGAATTATGCTTTATAATCTTCTATTAGACGAAATATTCCTCTTCCTGTTGTTTTAGTGTATGTGTGTGAGCATTTATTTGTATAAAACCAATTCACAAAAGCAATTGCACTCTATTTAAATCGAGGGGGGCGACACATCTAAATCTCAATTCTAGATGCTCGAAAAATCTCACACTAGCTAATCAATCTTCTAAAAATTTTCTTTCATTTCTCGCATCTACTTGCATCGCGCATCATCTTTTTGCAGGAAATCTCCCAAATCGTGATAAATCTTCTTTCTATCTACTCAACGTACGCACAGCTAGCCACAGCAAATCACAATATTTCCTACATCGTAGATAGAGTCGTCCTCCTCGATTTAAATATTGAAACCGAATTATTAAGAAATATTGCGAATATTTAGCTTCACAGTTAGAAATACCTAATTTTACATGTGACGGAATCCATCTTTGACATAAAAGATGAGACGTAAACAAACATGTAATGTAAAATTAAGTGCTCCGAGACAGAAAAGTTCGACTGTGAACAATACGTTTTATTGAGTTGAATTTCACGTCTATTATGACACAATTTTATGTCAAAATTGACGCTCGTGTATGTCAGGCTCAGAGCACCTAAATTTACATGATTTTTTCTAAATGTGTTATTCAATTTCAACTCTATATCTGAGCTTTCAAAATCTTCTGTACACACTAAGAAATTTTTAAAGAAATCTGTAAAATTTTACCGAAATCTCAACAGCTGAACGTTCGGTAAACGGTTTCGCAGATTTCCTGTAATGTTTCACAATTATCTGTGAATTTTTCACAGATATCTGTAAATAATTACAGGAAAACTGTAAAATTGTTTACCGAACGTTCAACTGTTGAGATTTTGGTAAAATTTTACAGAAATCTGTTAAATAATCTTAGTGTGTAGGTATTAAAACTCAACTTTCCAATGTTTTTTTGCATCAAGGAGTGCGTGTTTTTTATTGCAAACAAAATCAGCTGGATGAATTAGAAAGAATGGGTCCAAAGTACACACGACATAAAAAGTAACAAATAAATAAAGCCCAAGATTGAAAGGGTGTTTAGCAAAATTTGAGGACGATGAAATTAAAATCGCTTGATTTTCAATAAAAACATATTTTTGGGATAGTGAAATACCATTTTGTTTATCATTTTTTTCAAGAATTCAATGATAACATTTGATTCAACATAATCAACAACAACATAAAAAGAGTTCGGCGATTTTATTTTCTCCTTTGGTAATTTAGGCGTTTTGTTTTTTTTTTAAATGCTTTATAAAAAAGTTTAAAGAGAAAAAAAATCGATATCAACTTTGAAAAATCGATTCTGTCAAACATCGAACAGAAAAAGATCGGATGAAAAAAATCGATTTTTCGAGGCAAAAAAATCGATTCTGTAAAAATCGCATCGACATCGCCCATTCCTAAGTCAACAAGTTGGGAGAAGCCCTTAGCAAGAGAATCATGGAGAACCTTGTGGAAGAACGCCTTCGTGTGACCAATCTCAAGCAGCACACAATCATGGTGGAGCACAAATAAGAACACAACCACAGACGCAACGTTGATATTGTATCTCGCAACCTGAATTAATCCTGATGGAAAGAAGAATCAAAAAGTGCCCAAATCGCCATGTTAGAAGTGTGGCGACCAGCACTATGTTAGTGAGGGTCCATTCGCTTTGCACACCTGTTCCAGTTGCAAAAAAAAAGGACACAAGGAAGGGTAGTGTCCCGAGCAAAGTCTGAGATCAAATTGAAATCTAAATTTGATGTGATTTCGCTGATAATGATTACTCAGGTTGCTGTCGTTTTGGTCGTTTTAACGGTTACCCGAGCAAAGTCGGTTAACAAAATGAAAGCAAATCGATATTAAAGTTTGCAGTTCCTATCATAATGAATACTCATTTTGATTACAATTGTCACGATATTAGTCTGATATCATATTGTGCTTTCATTATGCAGTCAAGACATTTTAAATGAAAGCAACTTAACTTGAAGTTCTGCTGTTAACGTCTTGTTTAAAATTTAATTTAATCTCATCTGTCGTTGAACTAACTATTATTGTTTATTTGTTTTGTTTAACACATTTTAGGTCATTCGTAGTCAGCCCGAGCTGACATTTGAGCTCAAGTCTTTCAGCGTGAGAAGCTTGGATGCTAACCTTTTACGCCAGGCCCGTATTCAGTCAAACATTATGAATGCAAAATCAGTAATCAAATTGATTTCATTGAAAGCAGGATTAGTTTTCCGTTTGATTCAACAGTGTAAAATTTTGCTCTCATTTTTGATGTGTTAACCGTTAAGTCAACCAAAATGAGATCAAATAGAGTATTCAAAATAACTTACATCATAACAGCAAATTCTGATTTCAATTTGATCTCTAACTTTGCTCGGGTAAAGTATCACATTTGAGACATCACATTAAAAACTATTTCTGCTATCAGTGAGAGCAAACTGACAACTGAATTTTTCCTGTTGATAACAAATCAAGTATTCAATTTGATGTTATGCTAAGGCCATGAAAACAAACCCGCAACAACATATTTCTGAAGAGCAAATGTACAGCAAAATGAAAACAAAATTAGGTATCAAATTTGTCAAATTTCCCATTTGATTTGCCAGGGAATCACTTCACCGTTAATGGCAACTTGGCACTTCACTTCGTTTTCACCTTGAAGTGTCACCCGTAATATGGGCTATGATAACGGCAGTTTGTTGTAATCTGAAATGATGCGTTCAAAAACCTAAGTTTTAAAATAAAAAAAAGCACCAATGTACATTGAACCTTAATGAATACCATCCTTTTCCATCGCCAGCTACCGAAAACATTCTTAACATAAAACTGTGGATGTGTTGAATCATAAAAAAAACTAATTTCTTTCTCAAGCAAACGTAAGGGCGCAAACAATGAAATGCGTAAATAAAATGGCCATGTGAAATAAATAAAATCAGAAAAAAATATAATCAATTTTATTCAAAAGGCTGTACAAACTTTTCGCTTAGCACTAAACTATATGTATGTCGTAGGTTCCTTTCACTTTTCCACGCCTTTCATCCTACTGCATGTGCAAGTGTGTGTATGTTTGTATGTAAGTGTACGTAATTGATAATAATAATCATAAACAGAAGTGGAAATCAAGACTTTCGCTAAATTTGATTTAAGGCTAAGGTTTCGTTTCTATGAAATAGTGTTCATGTTTGTATGCGTGTTTGTAATCGAATAAAAACGACGGTCTCACTTAGCGAGATAAGAGATTTTTCAATAAATTCTTCATAGTTCAAAACCAATCACGAATGGACGAATGGGGATACAATAATTGTTATGAAATGTTACCGATTAGAACAATAAATTCCACGAATTTGCGTATAAATAAAAATTTTGATAACACAATAAATAAGGGAAGGGGAAGTAGTCATACAAACAGTGGGGTCAATACTAACGAAAAACAAATGGCTTTAAGTAAAACGAAGGAGATTGTTTACTTCGAAACAGTTCATCTGCTGTTCTTTGTAATGTGTTCAGGATCGATCTTGTAAGAGCACACTCACACGTTATTCTAAGTTTATTCACTTTTCGATCATATTAAAAACTATCGCCTCTTTTCCTTATTCTGTTTTGATAGTTAATCAACATTGTTTGTTTTCCGTTTTTATTTTGCCTCAATTCCGTGCTGATTTCAGAGAATGGTTCCGGGAATTCCCAGGTCGATTCGACACTCTTGTCACCGTTGTTCCGTTGCGCTGACTGCCGAACCCCGGGGGAAGAAGTGTCGCGTAGCTTCTTAAACAGAGTGTAGTCGTGATAATCGCTTAGGCAAAGATTGCAGAATGTGAATTCGCGGAGGCAGCGAAAAATTCTTGGATCCTTCCCAACACTAGACGACTTACAACGTTAGGCCTGATTTATGTCTTAAAAATTCCGTGTTTGTTTTGTTACATTTTTTTTTCTCCGTTTTCTGGTGGCCAGCAAGCGATCGAAGATAAAGGAAAAGCTTCCAGCCAGGGCAACAACCTTCTTCCCGAACGGGTGAGGAAAATTTCCACCTCAGGGACGAGTTTGAGGATGGCACATTCGGAGTGGGAAGGGTTTGTCAATTTTCCGTGGAAAATATCGACCCCATCCTCTTCCGGGAAAATATAGACGGTGGAAATGAAGTTCCGTGAGGTGGAAATTTTCACCCGCCAAAAACAATGCACGCGGTCTGGAGCAAAACGCTGCACGGTGTTGCCGAGGGAAGCTTTTCACTCAATATTTTTCATTGATTGATATTCTTTTCGATAGAGAGTGGCATTTATCGGTAGCAATTAGCTTCAATCTAGCCGGAAGGTAGTATCACACGATTTGTAACATTCCATTGTTAGGGGTTATTCGAAAAATTGAAACGTCGATTCGTTCCAATTTTCCGAAATCCCCCGGAAATCTCAAGTTAGCAGTTAAGGTATATAAATAGGAAGGAGTTTGGAGAATTTTTCAGCTTAATTTAAATACGCGATCGCATTCCAATTCAACGAGAGTAGGGAGGGAATCTAAAGAGCATCGAAGGATATAACCAACAGCAGTTAGAGCTTAGAACATAAAACGGTTGAATTTCATAAGAAGCGATAATCGATGGATTTATACAAAATTAAATTAAACTAGAAACGATTACGGTGCGCCTATAACACTTTTTTTTCTGGATAACACACTACAACTAATAACGTTTACACAGTTAAGTGGAGGTGAAAGTGTGACTAATAATCAATGACACATGTAGGTGGGTGGGTTGGTTGGATGACAAGGGAACAAGGGGGTGACACTGAAAAGCGATGAAAAGAAATATCAATTTAAAAAATATTTACATATAAACTCGCGCTCATGTTTTGTATATCTAAAAAAATCTGCAGCTGATTCAACGTTTTATCCTTACTTTAAAGTTTTTTTTTCATTTGTTTACTTTACTTTATACTTGTTTGTGTTTAAACTTTTGTGATACTCATTTGTATTTTTTTTTTAACATTTTATCATTTTCCTCAATTTGTAAATTATAAACTGTGATTTGTAATAAATATTGTTATATAATAGTAAAATTTTATAATTATTAGGTTTCTTGTTATCAGAGTTACTATAAGCGTGTTGCCTAGTTTGTCTCTGTTTGCTTACGCGGTGGCGGTTCCGGCACGACTTTTCGCTGCATGATCTCGCACTCGATTTATCAATTATTAGCCAATTATGATCCTCCTCTTCCTCGTCTTCTTCCTCATCACTAGTAGTAATAGTAGTTGTTGTTGTAGTGGTAGAAGTAGTAGTAATGGTGGCTCGATGCCGGCGCCAGTGACCGCCACACCGGCGCCGACTCCGAGGAAGTGGTTGTTGTTGTTGTTGTTGTTGTTGTGTGTGTGGTGGTTGTATTAGATTTGGAATTGCTCACTGCGCCTGCGGATCACATTGCAACAGCCGTACGATCGACGGATCACTTTTCGCCCCCTCGATGAACTCCTCCAGACTCAGCTTGCCGTCCTTGTTGCGGTCCATCTGGCGGAAGATCTTATCCGTTCGCTTTTCCGGTGTGCTCTCGTCCTCCGGCATCTTCATAACCGATCCGACCATCTTGTAGATTGCCTGTGCACATGAAAACAAACAAAAAACATTCATCAATCACGCCAACCGAAAACCGAAAAATAACACAAATTCCCAACATTAAGTTTCCAATCGATCAGGAATCAGGATGACTCACGGTTACAATTTCGAGCATCTCCTGCCGGGAGATGTACCCATTACCATCCAGGTCATACATCGAGAAGGCCCACTTTAGCTTCTGTTCCAGCTTGCCGCGGGACGTGACACTGAGGGCGCACAGGAATTCCCGGAAGTCGATCGTGCCATCGCCGTTGGCGTCGAAGGTCCGGAACACGTGCTCTGCGAACTGTGGATACAAAAGGGGAAAGCATTAATCAATACTAGCGGATTACAGCGATTATGAACGGGAAAACGGCAATCATCGTGCACCAATGATTGATGATTGCTGTTTTCCCGTTATCGACATGGGCTCCGTCGTTGGTTGGGAGGGATTGTAAATCATGAAATAAATTATGTTTTATAATATTTATGATTGATGGGATTGATGCAAGGGGTTTTCAAGCTTTTTCGTTTACCACGGGACTCACATCAAATGTTTCCACTATGGGATTTCACAAATTTCACCCTCTTAATAGGTCTACATCGTATGTGTTTGTTTTGCGTTGGTTGTAAGTGTGTGGGTGAAAAATAGCAGACAATAGAGTTCTCCAGATGCACAAAAGTGTGCGTGAGACCGCGCGCTACCTTTTTAAGTAGTAGTGATATCGCGATACCTTTTAGGTTCTTCTTCTTCTTCATTTTTATATATGGATGTTGGATTTTAGTGTTCATGAGATTGCGCTTGGAGATCTCTATAGAAAAGGGTGTCCCACATCAAATTGTATCACAGAAAAAACGCTGTAGAAAATTACCCATTGGGTATTTTCTCTTGAAAATGTGGGTAGAAGTAGTTAAGAGTGTATTGTATTTTTATCGCTGTCAGTTTTTCGCAAGTTGGAAAAAGGCGTCACCCGAAAAGCAACGCCGTGAATTGATTTTGTGAAAGCACCTGGAAAATCCTCAACTGGGCTACAAATGGTGAATTGACAACCTGGGAAGAGCGTTTTTCCTATATCTGGTCCTCACAAGTTCCTACCTCACACCTCCCCGTGGTGTAGCCTGGGCAATGTTGTCCTTCTGACAATAGCAAAGTGAGGGGGTGCGACGCGAACACTGGCGCGGTAACCATAACACGGCGATCGAGGAAATGCTTCGTCAACCCGCAGGAGTGCCAACCGGCACATTAGGATCGACGCCAGTAAGATCCTTATTACGGCATACTGGATACGGCATGGAACTATGGACACGACACGGCACAATGGATTGGATACCACGCTACAGGGCTGACAGTCGTGCTATTCTGCTCCCTAAGTAAAGAAGGGTGACACCTTCTTGAAATGGCGAGTGGGCTAATAGTGCGGCTGCCCCCGTCCCGGTAAAACCTTGGCAGGCCTCCGGATACGTTCAAAACTCGTCACCAATTGGTGATTGGTGAGTAGTAGACTCAGATGTAACATTCCTGACTTACGCCGATCTGGCTCTGAACACGGCCTCCATGAAGGACCGTGTCAACCCTAGCATGGCCTCCCTGCTTGCATAGATAACCATGGGATCACGATAGGCGACTACATACAACGAGTGGAGATAGCGGCCCGGAGGGGGGACCCAACAGAATGGAGAAAAACGGAGAAAAAAACAAAAAAGAAGAAAATGAGAAAACCCAAAAAAAAAATATGAAGGACGACGGCAAGACGCCAGAAATTGAAAACGGAGGAGCGAACGTGTTCGCAAGGAGCGGGATATTGCAGAGATCACCAGTGTTCCAACAGCAGCAGTAAGCCCCAAGGTGAGCAGCAAGGACACCAAGGAGAGCTAGGTCTTATGCTAAGCCAGGTGTTCACACCGAAATCCAGCAGTAGCACACCCCAAGAAGGATTGCAGCTTGGGAAGACCAAATTGATGGAGGTCAGGAGGAGGATCAATGAACTCCATGACTTCATCAAGGATAAGAGCAACGTCCACAAGGCAATAAAGGAAATGGTGACGGGCATCAAATCCGCCATTATTGCTGCCGAACGTGAACAAGATGCGCTGAGGACTGCGCGTAACTGCCGAAAGGGCACTGATCGAGGCCAAGGAGAAAGCAGAGTGCTGATTGAACCAGCGACCGAAACGGATGTGTTTTGTTTCTTCTGTGCTTTTTTTTGCTGCTGAAAACCTTTTCGCATGCGTTTTGTTCTCGAGTGACTGGAGGTGAACTGGTGATCGCATTTAAAAGTTTTGAATACCGTGCGTGATTTTTTTTTTTTTTTTTTTTTTTTTTTTTTTTTTTTTTTTTTTTTTTTTTTTTTTTGATCTCTTGTTGCTTATGCAATGGTGCTTGGTGTGGTCTTGCGTTTTTCTTTGTTGCCCCGTACAACCTCTATCACGCTGATATATTTTTCTGTTGCTGCGATGAGCAACTTCTTTGTGTGGTGTTAAAGAAGACAGTCCGAAAATACATGACCTTGATTATGCGTGGAGTGCGTTCTTTTGTACGTACGAGCTAGAAGAGCGTTATCAGTGATTGCGGTGGTTCAAGGAAAATTAAATAAAGCATTTCTGAAAACATGACGCTGCAAAGTCTCTAGGCCAATCGGGTGAGATCTTTCCATTTTATCTATTTATATTTTATTTTTTGTCACTGATTTATCAAATGCTCTATATTGACGAATAGAGTTGCCAAATCATTCACCCTCCCACTAACACAACTCTTTCCTTCCTGTGACACCTATGAAGGTAGTATGGGTTCCCTGCACCTTCTTAAGTAGATGTTGGATTAACTTTCCCTCCCTTCCCCTGCGATTGTAAGGATGTGGCCAGGTGTATAATGCGATGCTTCTATTGTAGATTTTATTTTCGTGTGGGGAAAATCACTAATCCCAAGTGATATTTTCTGCGTCAACACTCGATATTTTCTGCAAAACGTATTAGTTGACCATTATATAGCCACCCACGATTTGTACAATCGCATATGCTATGCTATGCTATGCTATGCTATGCACCTGGAAAATCCTCAACTCTCTCATCGGGACATCGGAAAACAACTCGAAATCGTGCAGTTAACGGTGAGTCGTGCATCGAACGGAAGGAGAAATGCGGTCAGAATGGATGTTCTATTAGTGATCAGGATCACAAGCGTGTCGTGAAAGCGTTTAAGCGGAATCCCAAATACTTCGGTCAGGGATGTGGCCAAAACGTTGAATATGTCCAAGTCTTTCGTTCAGAGAGCCAAGGACCGGGAGGAACTGCATACGTACTAAGTGCAGAAGGCTCCAAATCGTGACGAACGGCAAAATACGGTGGGAAAGTCATGGGCCCGAAAACTGTACACCCAGATGCTGACAAGCCTCATTGTCTCATCATGGATGATGATACTTACGTCAAGGCGGACTTCCGGCAGCTTCCAGGGCTACTGTTCTTCACCGCCCAGCACAAGTTTGATGTTCTGGAGGAAGTAAGGAAGCAGAAACTTTCAAAGTTTGCCAAGAAATACATAATTTGGCAAGCGATCTGCTCATGTGGCAAACGGAGTGCGCCGTTCGTGGCTACCGGGACTGTAAACGGGGAGATTTACCTCAACGAGTATCTACAGAAGCGTCTTCTTCTCTGTTAAAGCAACACGTGGGCCCTACGATCTTCTGGCCGGATCTAGCTACGTGTTTCTGTTCAAATGTTGTCCTGGAGTGGTATGAAGCCAACGCACTTTTGTACCCAAGGATATGAAACCTCCTCCCCCAACGCACCGGAACTAAGGCCCATCGAAAAATACTGGGCTATTATGAAGCAGGCACTACGGAAACTTCCCAAGCAGGTCAAATCTGAGGAAGACATGAAGAAAAAATAGGTTTCCCTACAGAAAAAGTTGCAGCCAGATGTTGTACAGAACCTAATGGATTGGATATGGATTTACATATTAAATGTTGGACCATGTGAACAGCGAATTTTTGGACAAGTCGAACCAAAGTTAGGGCGATAAAAGAGGGTTTTAAAATTCTTCCATAATAATTCCTGTACAAATTTCAAATAATTTGTGCGACATTTAAATCTTTATTAATTATTACCATATTGTGCACAAGCCGAGGGGGGCGACACATCTAAATCTCCATTCTAGATGCTGAACAAATCTCACACTAGCGAATCAAACTTCGAAAGATATTCTTTCATTTCTCACATCTACTTGCATCGCGCATCATCTGTTTGCAGGAAATCTTCATAATCGACGTCAATCTTCTCTCTATCTACTCAGCGTGCGCGCAGCTAACCACAGCAAAACACAATTTTGCCTGCATCGTAGATAGAGTCGCCCCCCTCGGCACAAGCCCATATTTTGGGGTCATGATTCAAACTTGAGGGTGGCCTATCATAAATTTAACATTTTGACGTAGGATTACGTCTTTAATTTCTATGCTGGGAGTCACATTAAAAAAAATCAAAATTCAGACATGTAACGAAAAATCCCAAACACGGACGTAATTATAGAGCGCAAATCGAACACACGACACATTGCGCATGTTCACATGAGCGAGCTCAATGCTCGATTGACCGCTCACCATTTCACCAATCAAAGGAAGGGAGGAGAAAAGCAGCGGTAATAAAAACGCTTGCCAAATCGTTTTCTTCGTCTGCCTACCTTGAAGACCCATTCCAACCGTCTATATCAAAGCCAAAATGGTGGGACTCAGAAATGAGAATTTTTCCAATAACATCCGTTCCCACCCAGATTGTACAAAACCCTTTTGGAAACTAACAAAAGTCTTCAAAACTAAACCGAGGCCTATTCCACCGCTGGTTCCATTGAATTGTCCCGACGATTCAGTGATTCACTTGATTACACCTGAAGAGAAGGCTGCCGCGATAGGTGAACATTTCGTCAGCTCCCACAATCTCGGACAAAACATCACCAGTCCTCACGGAGCTGAAGTTGCTGAAAATGTAACCAATCTCCACCAGGGTCCTAACATCTTTCCCGAGGAATCCGAGATCACGGCTGACGAACTGTTGGCTTATATCAAAACTTCCAAAAACATGAAGGCCCCAGGTTTCGACAACATTCTGAATCTGGAGCTCAAGCACTTGAGTTCCAGATTCTACAACCATCTGGCACTTATTTTTAATCAGTGCCTCCGACTTGGCTACTTCCCCTCGTGCTGGAAGTTACCGATCCATCAGCCTTTTCTCAGGGTTATCCAAGCTTTTCGAAAAGGGCAGTTCACAGCCGGCTTCTAACATCTGCCGAAGAAAACAACATCTTACTCTAGGAGCAGT